TGAGTTTTGTAATAGTGATTTTTATAGAACTTGTGGTTAAAAAGTGGGAAAAATTTTTGGATTTACGTATAAAATTATTTTATTGGTAGAATGTGTTGTTGAAAATGAGTTTTTAGATAACATGTGTTCAAATGGTATTTTTCTCATCTCATGAGGCTCAAACAGGAGCTAAATGTCCTTGCAACATGCACATGATGTATAATTGAAAGCGTAAAATTATTCAAAAAAATTTTAATGTTGATCTTTTTTGAACAATTTTACCATTATAATTAAACATCGCCAAAGTGTCACGTGACCATTTAGTGTCCAAATAGACATTTTCCGTCTGAAGCATACTATGTTAAAAGGTTGAGGACATGGGTGCGACAAATGGAGGTTGGAGACATGTCTACTACACTAATGAAAAGTTTGGAACCCGTGAAGGAATCTATCCTAACTTTAAGAGTAAATGCCTTTTATATTTAAAAAAAAAAAACCAAAAAACCCTTGTATTGGTGAGTACCAGAACCATCAAAATCACACCATCATCATGAACATTCAACCAACAATATCGATATAGACACAGTAAAGGTCACTAAAGCGCCAAATAACCTTGAAAAGTGTGAATTTTGGATGAGTACTTCATGCGGTCAATAGTATGCTCTTCTTCGTCCTTGCATGGTTAATAATATTTGATTAGAAATGAATTTGTTATCCATTTTTAATAAAAACGGTGGTGGGAAGAGCAAGGTTTGAATTTGATTTTGGATCAATAAGATTTGAATGGGTTTGAATGAGTAAAAATGAAACTGTTTCAGTTCTAGCATTTCAAATGGTGAAAAAGGCCGAGGGTAACAAATAATGAGCATCGTTTGTCTTCTTTCTTTCTTTTTTTTTTTTATTAAAAAAAGAATATTATTGCAGTCAAAGGCCTTTCTCATAAACCACACCCCAAGCGTTGGTCATTTACCCAGATTACCACTTCTAATGACAGTTTAGTTTCATGAAATCAGTCTTCTTCTTACTTTATAAGTCATGTAATTAATTATTTCTTAGGGCATCTCATTAGTAGATTATTCATACTGGTGTAGAAGTAAACCAAATGTAGACCTTGATTTCATTTCTACATGTCAAGTCAACACATGAATTAAAGTTAATTACAGATCACTTAGATCTTGCTAGACGTAACGTTTTGCTTACTGATTAAAGTTAATTCCATATCATCAAGCATGGTAGATTCAGTGATCTTGACTGCTAACTCTACTCCAAACCAAAGAACACATCCTAATTTGGAGAAAGATTCCCCTCTACAACATTATTTATAGAGTACAAGGAAGAA